CTATATTAAGTGTCACTTTGTTTGCTACAGAAATACAGTCACCTCTCAAGTGGAACAGAGCAGCTGTTTATCAGCGCACTGTAACTCTACACCACGCTTTTAAGAAAGGAAGCAAAGTAGAATTTTGCTATTTGAAACTGAAGGGAGGATTTAATGCAGGAAGAGTTGCACTCTCTGGTATTCAGCAGAGTTGCACTGTCTGGGCAAGGATGTTATGTTTAACATTTCTGCTCTGATAAATGCCCAGGACTATGACTACAAATACTCAGGAGCTCAGTTACATCTGATCTGAAAGATGCGGTGCTTATAACATGCCAGCAGGTTTAAGCTCAACATTTCTGGCTTTGTGCCTGTGGTTGGCAATCTGAGAAAATTTCTATCACAGTATTCTTCTTTCAAGGAGACAAAAACATATTAGGGCTAATTCACCCACTATCTTTGCTGGAGTTATACCAGGGATCAGTATGGCACACTGTTATCTCTATAAAACTGTTTAAAAACAATCAATAGAAGTGTAAACACAAACTCCTGTCTTGATCATTGTTTACCATTTCCTAGGCTGATAAGCTACTAAGGGCCAGTTCCTGAACTCTGGAAACCAATAGAAATTTTGTCATTGTCTTCAAGAGGGGCAAAGACCGGGCCCTAAACTCCATTACAAGCACAAACATCATGCTAGACCTGTTCCTCCAAGATGCTGGAGGAACTGCAGGGAGCTCCCAGGGCTCAGCAGTGTTCAGTATGTGACCCTCTCTCAGTAACTATACTTCCTATGATCTTCTAATGCAAAGCCATGATTGTGAAGGTGATGATGGAAAATTCTTGAGGCAGCTCCAATAACAGAGAAACATGACTAGAGAAATCCAGACTTGGGCTGGAATTTTCAGATTTAAGCTTGCATTTAATGTGTCAAAGTGGCATTTGGATGTCAAAAGAGGCCCCAAGTCCTCTAGACATCTAAACAGAATTTTCACTGGCTGGCACCTACTAGGAAATCCTATGGTAAAACCCCAAAGACCAAACTCTGGGTCAGAGTCATGTTGATGGAGCTGCCCAAGACAGCATTTTTGAAAGCTGGGCTCCCACCTTTTCAAAAGCAGCATCAGCATGCACACAGTAGGCAGATAGGGCCAAAATCCCTGCTTCGAGTCAAATGGTCTCAGTTTGCACCAACTGAGAATTTGGCCCCTATTTTGCTTTTACAAAGGTTGGCTCTCCATTTTATTATAACACCACTTCAAAACACAAAAACAAAGACTGATCAACACACACAAGAGGGAAACTTACGTCTTACTATCAGCCTTGTATAAGCAGTGGTGAAGGTGTTTCCTCCTATGTATCTGGCAGAGTAGACCCCTGCATCCTGTAGCAGGGCTTCAGAGCAGGTCACTTCTAGCACATTTGGCACTTCATGCCTGGGCACAGAGTGAATGAAAGAACCTGAGAGAAGGGCATAAAAAACATCATAATAGAGCAGAACATCCATTCAACCCTTCACAAGAGGAGCTCAGGTCAGCCAGTGAGGGAAGACATCTCAGATGAAGCAAGCTGTCTACCACGCAGAACAAATCTGTTGACCATGACACGGTTGGGGCACAAAACCTCTTCTTTGCCTCTCCTCCAGCTGCCGCTGCATATGAGTTGAACAACCCGGTAATTAATGTCTGAAGAATGTAGCTGCAGGGATACTCACTGTGCCATCAGTGAACTGCAGAATTCTGCTTGTTTTAGAGGATCAGCTCACCTTGTGCTTCAGCTAGTCAGATGCCAGCTTATTCATATGGTGTGGTACATGTGTATGTATATTCGCAAATATTTCCTTTTATGAATAAGGTCGCTTTGGATGGCCTCTTCTCTATGGTTTCACACTTTCATACATGTATAAGTGATGGCCATTAGTTAGGCCCTGATCATGTAAAGTGATTCACAAACACAGACCCTTACTCCCTTGTGGAATCCTGTTGGTCTCTCCATTCCTTAAGCTCGGACAGGGGGTAAGCTATGTAGCAATGGGAACCTAAATCATGGAGCAGAGAGAGATCTCAGTCAGATGTCCAGCTTCTGGAGTGCTCAGGGGGAGTTGGGAGGGGGGAAAGGGGAAGAGATCTTGGAAGGCAGCAAGTAAATAGAAAAAGAGGAAGTGGGGCAGAAGCACTTAGAGCAGCATAGCGCAGGCGATATTGAGGGATGCAAGGCAGAGATACAAGGGCGGGGAGTTATAAGATTAAAAGCAAAGGCACAACAACTGGGGAACTGGAGAGCACAAGGGATTGTGGAGGGGAAGCAAATAATTTGATCAACGCTGTTTCTAGGGTTGGCAATCTGGCTCCTTCTCTGAGCACTAAATGCACAAGAAATGATGCTTCCTTCAATTGCACAGCAAGAGCATCACCAGTAATTATTTTAATGTAGTGGCACAGGTGCTAGGATATCACAGTGATGGGTGAGGGGAAAATAGAGAGAGAGAGTCGTTACCGTTTTTGTAGATCACTGCATCTTCCTCCATTGCAATCTTTCTGATGAAGGAAATGTTCACATGTTCTCCCTTGTTCACTGTCATAGTTAAGGCCACTGGGAGGAAGGAAGCTAAAATAAAAATGGTCAAAACATGGGATCAATGACTATAAATATTATCAATGACTGTGATTCCCCTAAACTGGAAGCTGGAGGATAATCTACAGCAGAATCATCACTGGTGATTTATATGTTTAGATTTCCTTTGCCATCAGCAGCCCCTGCTCTGTGTTTCAGCAGTGCCATGGGTGGGGGGGCATATAGGTGCTTGAACAATAAGGTGGTGTAACTAGAGGCAAGGAGAGGAAATTAATAATAATGTTAATACTGGCTGGATAACTGGAAACAATTCCTAACCAAGAGAACCAACCAGTTGTAGAATAATTTCCCAAGTCTTTTTAGCCCTAGGGACAATTTTTATAAATAGACTGGGTAAGATACTGGGTAAATTTACTAGGAAAAGATCTTTCACTGGCAAAGAAGGTTTCTATGATGTAGTGAAATGCAACAATGTCAGGACATCAGTGTCATATAAGGCCTACCGGAAGACAGGAATAGCATAGTGTAGTGCTCAAAATTAGCTCACCACACTTTCCACAAGACACCATTCCTTACTGAGGACAACCGAATAAATGTATTCTGAGAGGGGTCGGGCAACATTTTTCAACCACATTTTTTTCTATCTGAATATATCTTTTCATCAAAATCTAAACGTTGCATGGGAAAATATGCAGTTCAATGCATTTGTTAAAAATTCTTGAACTGGAAAATTCAAAACAAAAAAAATGCACAAAACACAAACCTACTTTCACACACTTTCCTGCTGTTTTCCAATCTTTTCCAGCTGGAAAACAGTAAATAAGTGTGAAAAGTGAGTTTCATTCATTTTCACACCTTTTTCACCTTTCTTGTCTATTTACCAGCGGAGGAAAGGGAGTAGGGAGTGAGAAACCTGAAAATCCAGAAACCAATAATGGAAAAAAAAAAAAACAAATGACATTTTAAGTCAAAATTACACAAAACTTTAGTTGCAAAAGATTTTGATACGAAATTAAATCAAGTTTGATTTAATTTCATTTTGAAAATTCCTGTGGAAAACTTGGGATTTTTTTGAGGGAAAAATTTTCTGACCAGCTCTAAATCTGAGATTCCAGGCCAAACTCTTCTTGTGATAATATTGGGGGGTGGGGGGGAGGGGCGGGGAGGGGCGGACATTATAAAAGCTATCCTACCAAATTAGAAAATTCTGATTTTTCAAACTGAACTTTGGGGATATTCAGATCTCAGTCTGGATCTAAACCTCACACTTTAGGCCTATTTTTACTGAGGACAATGAGTACACTCTCAGAGGGATGGGACACTGTGTTTTACTGCTCCCTTCTGTGTCTTCTTATTTTTTCCCAAGGATTTCTAGCTTTTCTTTGGGTAGGTCCCTCCCATACCATGGTTTGCTTCCACCTTCCAAGGTCTTGCAGGGCAGTCACCCTCCTCATGGCTAAAAGGGCTGAATTTTACCTCCTCCAGAATCTGCTAAAGCCAATCTGAGTCTCCACTGGAATAAGCTCTTATGCTCTGGGTCCTATTCTACTGCGGTCCCATTTATGGGATATTTTATTTAGGGTAAAGGATGTGCGGGCTACAGACCAGTATGAATTATGGGGTAATTTTTTCAGACACTTTTCCATTCAGTTATGCTCACACCCCTTGCCCCCACCCTTTGTGCAAACATTCAAGCAAGCACATTTTGGTTTGTACCAAAGATTGTGGAAAGCAAATTTTGGGCCTGTAGCTGAAATTTGTTTACTGAAGTAATTAAATTCATTTTAGATGGAAGTGGAAGTAGTTTATAAATGCTAGGTCAGAAACAAAAGCCAAAGAACAAAAACAACAACAAAAAATAACATGTGGCTTCTGTCACCATCTATCTGTATTAGGTATTTAGTACATTGGCTGGAAAAACTTAGATGGAACCATTTCCCATCAGAAAATGAATTTCCATTGAAGTAAAAATGCTTTGAGAAATCGTATTAATTTTCCCAAAAATGTGTTTAGGAGAAAACCTACAAAAAAGCCCTCACAATGTTAAACCATTCCATTTCGACATTTGCAGAATGAGAAGTTTTGAGTTTTCATTTTGAAATGACTTATTTCCATTTTGAAATGACATATAAAGAAACTTTAAATGCTGTATTATATTATATGCAGTGTTGTTTTAGCCATGTTGGTCCCAGGATATTAGAGAGAAAACGTGGGTGAGGTAATATCTTTTATTGGACCAATTTCTGTTGATGAGGAAGACAAGCTTTTGGGCCACACAGAGGTCTAGGTCTTCAGGTCTAGGAAACTAACTCAGAGTGTCACTCCTTGTCTCTCTCACCAACACAAGTTGGCCCAACTATGAAAGTAGTTCTATTCACTTCAGTGAAATTACTCATGTGCGTAAAATTAAGCACATGCATAAGTGTTTGCAGGTTTGCGGCCTTGCACAATATTATCTAGGCCAGGGGTCGGCAACCTACAGCATGCGTGCCAAAGGTGGCACGCGAGCTGATTTTGCCTGGCACGCTGCTGCCATCTGGGGTCCCGGCTGCCGGCCCCGCTCAGCCCACTGCCGGCTGAGTGAACGGAACCCCAGGCCGGCAGGAGGCTGAGCGGGGCCGGCGGCCGGGACCCCAGACCGGCAGCAGGCGTGCCCCCCGGCTCTGCCCTCACCGCGCTCTGGTTCTGCGGCTCCCGGAAGTGTGAGCTGCTGGGGCGCAGGGCCCTGAGCCTGCTCCGGGTGGGGCAGTGGTGGCGGCTCACACTCCCGGGAGCCACAGAGCCCGAGCGCGGTGAGGGGGCAGCCGGGGTGCGCACGGGGACCGCCACCCGCATGCATCCGCTGCAGGAGCCACCCCGGGGGGGGGGGGGAGCACCGGGCCGCAGCCGGGGCAGGCGCCCCCCTGGATCCTCCCTCACTGTGCTCGGGTTCTGCGGCTCCCGGAAATGTGAGCCATCGCCGCCGCCCCTCCCAGAGCTCTCCCCCTCCCACTGCCTCAGCACTCTGCGGGGGAGGGGCTGTGCCCACGGCAGCCCGCAGTGTGTTTTGCCTCCACGTGGAGGCAGCGTCTGACCAGCGTGGGCATGGTAAGGGGAGTCCTGGGGGGCAGGCAGGGAGCAGGGGGAGGGTTGGAAGGGTCGGGAGTTCTGGGGGGCCTCTCAGGGGGTGGGGAGTGGTTGGATGGGGCGTGGGAGTCCCGGGGGTCTGTCTGGGGGCGGGGGTGTGGATAAGGGTTGGGGCAGTCAGGGGGTAGGGTCCTAGGGGGGCAGTTAGGGTGGGAGGGTCTCAGGAGGGGGCAGTCAGGGGACAAGGAACAGGGAGGCTTAGGTAGGGGGTGGCGTTCTGGAGGGCAGTTAGGGGCAGGGGCCCCAGGAGGGGGCAGTCAGGGGTCAAGGAACAAAACTGCAATCTATGTGGGAACAGAAAATAAAGCAGAATTTTAAAAAATAAGTTTCTTGCAACAATGATTCAACCAGCTCTACTAAAGTGTTTGATCCTCAGACTCCATCCACAGTCAGAGCTGGGGGTGTGATTCCCAGCACACGTAGACATACTTGCACCAGCTCTCATTGAACTAGCGAGCTAAGAAGAGCAATGTAGGCATGGCAGCATTGGAAGCAGCGGTATGGGCTCGCCACCCTAAGTATGGATTGTAGTCAGGGCTGATAGCTCATGTCGCCACTACCTATGTTACCATGGCTACACTACTTTTTGAGTGCAACTAGCTCACTGAGAGCTAGCCCAAGTATGTCTGTGCTAGCTGGGAACTGCACCCTATCTCCAAGTATTGGGGTGTTCGGTTCGGTGGCTTTTTGTTTTAAATGTAGACAGCTAGTATTAATTGTTGTTTTTCATGAGAAATTCGCTTTACAGTTCAGCTTTTATTTTTCCTTTCTATTTTCTTTGTGTGAGTTGTTTAGTTTATCCATGAGACCTTTTCTTCACAGCATTGTTGTAATGGAAAGGAACCCACATTCCTTGGTGGGCTCCGTTCCAATGTATTTTTAGCTTATGGTCTGCATTTAATTAATTATTTTACAATATGAGCCCACTCCTTAAAGAGACACAATGAACTGAGTTGTAGAAGTGCCCCAGCTCTCTTTGGCTTACGTGTCTATAAATCCATAACCATCCCTTCCTCTGTAGAGAGATTCTGTTGTGTTGCAATTTTTTCCCCTTCAGTCACTAAGGAATAGATTCTATACTATACATACTATATGCCAGGCAAGTCTAGAGTATACAGGATATAGGAGAACTGGCCCTCTACTTTGAAAATGTTATATGTAGACTCATGCAGAAAAATGTTCTTCCTTTACATTTTCACATTATAAAGGCCAAGATTGTCAAAAATGAATAGCTTAAGTTAGGCTCTTATGTCCATATATAGGCACATAGGCCCCAATAAAGCATATAAGCATGTACTTAAGCATGTGAGCAATCCCATTAAAGTCAGTGGGACTATTCATATACTTAAAGTTAAGCACATGCTTAAGTGGTGTGATGGAGAGGGGCCCAAAGCAACTGCTAGATTTTCAAAATTGCCAGTCATTCAACAGCTCCCGTTGTCTTCAGTTGGACACACAGTGCACCTTTCAACTCATCTGATGAGAAGAAACCCTTAGTGTATCCAGAAGCCTTTAAAATTATTCAGACAATAACTGTGGAGAGGAAAAAAGCCTATTTGCCAGCTACAGTAGTTTTGCCAAACCCTGCAGCCCTTCCCTGACCTTCCTTTCCTCTCCCTGTGGCCTTTAATAGCTTTGAGAATTTCTACCATGTCTCTTTCTCACCCATCTAGAAGCTTACTAGTCAGTGCACATAACAGGCTCTCTGATGAGATCTATATCAGCCAAAGCTTTTAGCAAAGATCATCTGAAAAGTAGAAGTGCAATAATCAAGACCCCCAAAAGGCCCCATCTAAATCCATGTACAGCTGGTAAGAAGATCATATCTCCTCTGGATATAACAGATTTAGCCTGGGTGATCCACATGTCGGGCTCTCAAGTCAAGTCTCTCTTCCCAGGCACGTAAGCCCTTGACCTTAAAGAGCTACAATGGGTTCAGCACCCATCATCACATCTGCTGAGGAACACAAGAAGTCAAGAGAACATCACCCCAATAACCTGCTATCTACACTGGCTTCCTGTTAGATACAAGGCCAAATTCAAGATTTTGGCTCCCATCTTCAAAGCCTTTCGTAGATTGTTACCTGAGGGTCTGCCTCACCTGCTTGGTCATGAACCCCCTCCTTCCCTCCTCCTCCCCCATTGAACAGAACAATGGAACTGGCAACCTCAAGAGTGAGATGTATGTGAGTACAAGGGACAGAGCTTTCTGGGTGACAGGCCTGAGAATCAGGAGTACACTCTCAGCAGAGGCCAGAACAACCACAAACCTTATCACCTTCAGAGTAAAATGCAAAATCCACCTGGCCTGCTCACACCACATTACAATAAAGAAACTTCAGCCCTGCTCACTGGGGAGAGAGAGCAAGAGAAAGTGTTGTTATATGTTCACTCTACAATTCCCATCATCTTGACAGTATTTGTGCACAATAACGGATTTGCAGGCTAAGTGGAGGTGTTTGAACTGTTGGTACCACAACATATTGTGCTAAATATTAGTGATGGGTGAACTTCAAAAGGTTTGAATGTTTGATGAAGTGCAGAAAATTATCTAAAAGTTCTTATGTTTCTCTGGAGCTTATGCCAAGCTCTTTGCTTTGGAACTCAGCCTGGAAGTCTCATGAGATCAAGATACATATGAGATTTCTAGTATGAATAGGCATGGTCTAGGAATCAGAGCATAGCTATCTATCCCCATCCACCCCATCCACCCCATCTATCTATCTATCTATCTATCTATCTATCTATCTATCTATCTATCCCCATCCACCCCCTCTATCTATCCATCCCCATCCACCCCCTCTATCTATCTATCTATCTATCTATCTATCTATCTATCTATCCCCATCCACCCCCTCTATCTATCTATCTATCTATCCCCATCCACCCCATCCATCTATCTATCTATCTATCTATCTATCTATCTATCTATCTAATACTGTTGCCCACCACATTGATATCAGAGCACCTTCCACATAAAAGAGATTGGCAATAGTGAAATTCTTGGTGGACTGTGTGGAGTCTCTTGCCTTGCCTACGCAGCATGGCAAAGTGCACTAGAGGAGCCCAGTTTATAAAGCCCTCTGTGCTGTACTCTAACTGCTCTGTATAGACCCTGCTGGTGCACTCTAAAAGGTACCTAGTTCCTGATACCTTTTAAAGCGCGCCAGCAGGGTCTACACGGGGCAGTTAGAGTGTAACAAGTTAGAGTGAGGTTTGCTGTACTGTGTAGACAAGCCCTCTGGTTTTTCTCAGCTTATGGAAATTACTTGGGGTAGGGGTCACGTTTTTAAAGTGCTTTGAAGATGAAAGGCCCAATGTAAGAGTTACTGTAGTTATTGCTTTGTGGGTTCAATGAGGCCACAACGGTTTTTCTTGCCATATTTTATTGCTTCCATTTTGTGCTGCTGGGTATAACCAGAAATGGGCAGAACGTGCAAAAATGTAAGAGAAAAATACTAACTCAGAACATTAACCAAATGTTTCTGAGCCTCAGAAATGATTGGTTTGGATTTGGGCCAGATAAGTTCTTAATGAATCCAGGCCACTTTGCTCACTCTGGATCCACTACTGTACCTGCTCCTGTTATTTAAGGGTAGCAGCCAAACTGCAAGCAGATGTCCCCTAGTGGGGCTCGCACATCTCTGGTCTGACCAGCATACAGTACCTCCTAGTGGCATCTTCATTGTACGTATCCTTGTCACCTCATCTTTGACTTTCCCTTCACAGTAGTAAGCTCCGACAGTTTCACCAGCTTGTTCCCTTTTCCACACCACTTTTTTGGCTGTTCCTCTCTTCTCGTCTTCAGTAACTTCCAGAGGGTCCTGGTGTTGGCTCATCAAGGCCTCATAGTCTCGCCCTATTGTGACAGACTCGCGGGAACTCCATCTGGCTGCAATGCAGATAAGCGATGTCTCTGAGTTGCTCACTAGAGGGAGTGAATTGATCAACACCAGGTCCAGCGCTGCCTCCACTTTACCTACAAACAAACAACAGGTGAAGGGATTTTTCTGCAGAGTCTGAGTATTGCTTTTAGTTCTGATTGTTCACATAGGGGCTTTTGAAGTAATAATATATGGAGATATACCTATCTCATAGAGCTGGAAGTGACCCTGAAAGGTCATCTAGACCAGACCCCTGCCTTTACTAGCAGGACCAAATACTGATTTTGCCCCAGATCCCTAAGTGGCCCCCTCAAGGACTGAACTCACAACCCTGGTTTTAGCAGGCAAATGCTCAAACCACTGAGCTATCCCTCCCCCACACTCAGTGCTTCCCCAGTGCTAAAATAAAATGGCTGCATGTAAATATTCTGTTCTAGTTACTTTGGGAACAAACCCTGAGCCCAGATTGTGCCTTAGGAATGTTTGGAAGGAGAGGACCCTCCACTCATGGCTTTCCTCAGTTTGTGCAGAATGGGAAGTGAGCCACCTCTCTGGCAACACAGACCCTTTCCTCACACCTCTTCATGGTGAGGGGTGATGCAAAGGATCCTACATCCAAACCTATGGAACATGCTTTAAGACCAGCACTAAGAAGTAGGGGCACAGGGAGACTGTTGTGTCATCACTGCGGATATAATTGCATGCATGGATCAGTGGCCATGCACTTGCTCCAAGTAGCCGTCGACTGATGTATACAAATAATAGCATCTATTTTATCGTTCATAAGCTACCTTATCTGGGCCTTCATTTTTATGGGAAGAATTTGTACCAGGAAAAATTGAGACCAGTATCTGAAAATATGCCTCTACGAGCCAATCATACTCCCATATTTCAAATTTCTGAGCCAGCTTCTCCACTGCTTTGTACCTTGTGACCCATGCACATCTGAATGGAAAACATTAGCAAATCAAAATGCCCTCTTTATGCCCACTTTGCCAAGGTGCCAATGGCTAGGCAAAGTGCAGGGCAGTGGAGAATCAGACCCCTGTTTGCATCAAAGAAAATCCCCTTTTTCTTACCCTAACATTGCTAATTATATGTTGGCTGTTTCGTGCTCTACAGAATCTAAAATTACTTTAAAACTAAGAACTTAAACTCTCTCCCATTACCCCCTTCCCTCACTGATCTACAGTCTAGTATGGTTATCGCTTTAAAACCCAAATGAGAACAACAAACAACAGAGTTACAGAGGTTCCTTACAGTTTTCAGTGATCAGTGTTTCCAACAGTTAATGACGCGCAATTTAAGAAAGCACTTAAGTTCCAGCACATGCTTACTGGCTTTCCAACAAGTACATATTACTTACATTTTGATAGTCTGGACATGTCACATAGCCATAGGAACTAATAATAAGAAGAAGAACAAATATTTTGGACATCTGAGCTGTCTCCCATAGATCTGAAAGTGTTTTTCAACCATTTAACCAATGAAGACTCACAACATGGCCAAGATGTAAGTATTATTACAGACTGGAAAACTGAGGCAAAAGGGAGGTTAAGTGACATTCCAGAGGACATAAGAAGTCTGTGGCAGAGAGATAAATAGAACCCAGACTTTCTAACTCCTAATCTTGTGAGTTTGCCAATAGATAAGGCTCCCTTTAATAAATGTAACTGACTTGAAATACTATGGTGATAGGTACTGTTTAAAAATGGCAGATAGATACAGAGAGAGAAAGAGAGAAGGATAATTACAATGTTTTCTCTTGGAAAGTGTTTTAAGTCTTAGTTGTTGAGGGAGTGAGATACAGAACCCCTTATGCTCAGTGCTTTCGGTTTTGGAAATAAGGGTAAGGAGTAGGGGAATGCTGTCATTTTCCAGCTAAAATGCAAACAATAATTGATTTCTGTTAAGCATCCCCTTTATTTTCCAGCTTTAGATTCAGCTGTATTTTGTGTGTATACCAGCAGGCTCTCTGCAGTCGGTATTTTGTGCCATTCCGTTTGCAAACAGCTTTCAGTTTTGAAGCAAGGAGTATAGCCCTAGATAAAGAGGTCAAAGGGGAGCAGTGCTTACTGCAGATTCTGAATGTGTGCGTGTGTATTTTGTGCTTTAGTCCAAGGGAGGAGGTACCTCACGGCATGCAATGCCAGCAGCTTCTCAGGGGAATGTAGTATCTTAAGACACACTGACACCCATCCCTCCCAGCCAGAGTGCTGCAGTTACCACCCTTTCATGTGCCAACCCAGATAACTTATGTTACATAACAGAGAAATAAAACCTTCTGGAAAGAATGTAGCAGCCATTAAAATAAATGTTGTATAAAGCCAAGGGTCAAAGAAGTCAAGTCATCCTGTAGCACATTACAGAAATAACTCGTTTGAATACAGCTAAAGTTAAGTAGCTGTACAATGCAATCATGGCCAGTTGGGTGTGTGCATTTTATTCATTTTTTATTTACTGCATATATAGGGTCTAAGCATGCAATCTCTACTCACATGAGCAGTTCTTCCTTGCTCACTCTGGGGCCAAGTCTCCTCTTGCTTTTAACCAGGGTAAATCAGAAGCCATTCCACTGAAGTCAATATTTAAGGATGAAGGTTCTACAACAGTTGTCTATGTATGTTTCCTACAGAGCATTGAGTGCTTACTGGAAAGACGCATACCTCTATAGAAGTCAAGGGAGCTAGAACAGCTGAGGAGCCATCCCATATTCTGGCAATTCATAACTAAATTTGGGCCTGAACCAACACTGGATCCTAATTTCCCCAAACTCTGGAGAAGTTCAGATTCAAATCTGGATCCCAACTCCATGACTGGGGGGGATTGTTACATGTCACATGTTCCCCTGGAGTGGTGGAGCTTGAGGCAAGGTTGCAAATTAGAATGAAAATGCATTGATATAGCTGAGAGGGAAGGGCTTCCATAGCACCTACATGTACACAAATATCCCCCCCCCCGCCCCTGGTCACCTGTGGGGGTGGGATGGGTTAGCATCCCCATGCTGACCTGGTCTGAAGCTGCCACAGCAAGTCATTCTCCAGATCTCTAGCCCTTAAAGGGGCACACACCCTTTTGACAAGTCAGACAACCCCCCCCCCCCCCCACACACCCTTTAATGTGCAGTCAGGTAATTTGCTTACATGAACATAGATTTCAAGTCCAAAATATAAAAATAAAGAGAACATCTTTCTCCTGCATTGCAGGAGAATTTTAATACCCCTCAGAATCTTAGTCTGGGGCCTAAGTCTTGTGTAGGCATTGATCCCGGTGCAAAGTGGGTATAGTGAGTAGGCATTGATCCCGGTGCAAAGTGGGTATAATGAGTATCAAATCAGAATGGAAGCACTTTACACCCAATTTGCTCTCTCTTTGCAGAGGTGAAATGACTAAACACAAGGCACAGAACAATAAAGACTCAGGCCCATAGTTTATCTAAGGCCTGGCCTACACTTAAAAATTAGATCACCTAACTACATTGCTCAGGGCTGTGAGGGTTGCTCACCTCCTGAACACCACAGGTAGGTCAACCTAATCCCTTAGCTAGGTTGATGGAAGACGACTTCTGTCAATCTAGCTTCTGCCCCTGAGCTAGATGGATTAACTATATCAAAGGAAAAACCTCTTCCACTGATGTAAGCAGCATCCACACATAGCTGTGCCAATGTAACAGCTGTACTGTAGGCATGCACTTAATATGAGACTATCCTGGTAGAACTGACAGTCTGACTACCCAAGAGTCATTTATTCCTTGGGGATCAAAGTCTCATAGCTGGAATCCATTTCAGGTGGAGATGAAAATATAGTCCAGGTGCAAATTCTGAGCTAATGAAACGTCCACCTCCAGATAGATGGTCCCAATGAGGGCCTGATCCTGCAAGGTGCTGAGCATTTCCTGGGAGAAGAATAGCTCTCTCAACTCCCACTGGCCTCAGGATCTGTAGGACTGGACTTTTAGGGCTCAAACTAAAAACCATTGAAGTAATAGAAAGACATCTGATATCTCCAAGCGGCAAAGGATTAGACCCTTAGTCCCCTTAGATGTAGGGCTTGTCTATATGAACAGTTAGTGCTCAGTAAACTGGGGTATAAATCTACTTTGCACTAGCTTGCTGCACACAAAGTGTCCGTGTGGCCCCAGCTGTGATGCACGAAATGTTCCATAGTGCGCTTTGAAACTGGAGTAAGTCCCAGTGCACTAGGGAACTTTTCGTGCCCAGCAGCAGAGTCCACACAGTCCATTAGAACAGTGGGTCTCAACCAGGGGTACGTGTACCCTGGTGGTACGCAGAGGTCTTCCAGGGGGTACATCAGCTCATCTGGACATTTGCCTACTTTTACAAAGAACTAGCGAAGTCAGTACAAACTAAAATGGCATACAGACAATTACTTGTTTATACTGCTCTATATACCATACACTGAAATGTAAGTACAATATTTATATTCCAATTGATGTATTTTATAATGATATGGTAAAAATGAGAAAGTCAGCAATTTTTCAGTAATAGTGTGGCTGTGGCACTTTTGCATTTTTATGTCTGATTTCGTAAGCAAGTAGTTTTTAAGTGAGGTGTAACTTGGGGTATGCAAGACAAGTCAGTCTCCTAAAAGGGATACAGTAGTCTGGAAAGGTTGAGAGCCACTGCGTTAAAGCGCAGCAGGCTAGTGCAAGGAAGATTTACATCCCAGCTTGCTGTGTTCTAATTGACCATACAGACAAGCCCCTAGGAGAAAGTGCTGATAAAGTAGATTTCTGCTGCAAGCCAACTGCCTACAGCATCCCTGCTTAGCCGCCTCTCATGGCCAAATCCTGCTATTCTTATTCAAGAGGAACTCCCGCTCCTTAGTGTGGCAAAACTCACGCAAAACTAACCCTTGAAGTCAATGGGAGTTTTGCCCAAGCTGTGACTGAAGGATTTAGCTCTCTGAGAACGCAATAAACACAGACAGGAAACAGCCTTTCTCTGTATCAGTGAAGATCCCCTGTGCTTCCTTGAAAAAATCCTTTGATTCCTGCCCTTCTCCTTGTAGGACTGACCTCTGCAGGAAGGCGATTTGCTGTGTATGCAAAGGGGGTTTGGGGAAAGGAGGCACC